GCCCGGCGCGGCGGCGTCAAGCGCATCTCCGGCCTCATCTACGAGGAGACCCGCGGGGTGCTCAAGGTGTTCCTGGAGAACGTGATCCGGGACGCCGTCACCTACACGGAGCACGCCAAGCGCAAGACGGTCACGGCCATGGACGTGGTCTACGCGCTCAAGCGCCAGGGCCGCACCCTCTACGGCTTCGGGGGCTAAAAGCCTCGTCTTCGTTTGCTTTCCAAAGTTCTCCAAAGGCCCTTTTCAGGGCCGCCCACCCTTTCTTTAAAAGGGCTGTACGCGTCTTGTATCCTGGTTTTGTTGGGTTAGTGGAGCTTTGACGTTGGTACTGACTTGCGCTTTTGTCGTAAACGTAAGCCTGACAGCACCGCGACCGCCGGATGCTCGCTCAGCCAATGAGCGGGCTGCACAGCGCGCGGCGCGGGTTTCGCGCCAATCAGCAGTAGGGGCTTTCTGAGGAGGCCAATGGGGGGGAGGCGCCGGGCCTCCCGCGGAAGGAGCGGGGCTGATCCCCGCCGCTCTTCCCGTAAGGGCCCTGCCTGCCGCTTCCCACCTGTGGAGGGAGTAAGTACTAGCCATGCTTGCGTTGCCGCCCAGCTCGTTCGCCTAGGAGGGTTCGGGTCGGTAAATAACTCGTATATTTGCGAGGGGCCACTGCCCGCCTCACAGGAAGCCGGGTGGGCTAAACTACTGCGGCGAGAGACGCTGAACGTCCAGTCCCCGGTGTGCTCTCAGCGGCGTCAGCAGAGGGGCAGGCTCTGGCCTCCCGCCGCCGCCCCCGCCGCCGCCGGAGCCGGAGCCCTGGAGTTGGAGCCTGGGAGGCTGCAGCCGGGGGTCTCGGGTTTCGAGGTGCCTCGGCATTTCCATTGTCGGGCTCGGGCTCCCGGCCGCCCCTAAGGCCCTGGCCAAGCAGGGTTCGGAAACTTCCCATTTAGTAGACGGAGGGGGGCTGTTCGGATTCAGGCCTCGGGTTGCTCGGAACCCTACGGCCTCTGGCAGGGCCCAACCTTGACGACTTGAGGGAGGAGCGCCGTCCTTGGAGACAGCTGGCTCTCTGGCGACCGTCTTGCACCCTCGGCCTTCGTGCCTCCGCCCAGCTCCTCTCCCTCTTTCTTCTGCGTCCTGCAAATTGTAAGGTTTGGGGTTTTTGAGTGAAGCTTTCACACATGGTCACAAAGTGTTTTGAGGGGTGCCTGGGTGGCTCAGTGGGTTAAGTGTCTGCCTTCGGCTCCCGTCGGGCGCTCTGCTCAGCTGGAGCCTGCTTCTCCCTCTGCCTGCAGCTCCCTCTGCTCTCTGTCAGACAAAATTAAAAAAACAAAAAGTGTTTGGAAGTATGTCCTCAAGTTACTAAATCAGACAACTGAATAGCATCTTTGATTTAATGCTTGAATATATTGACGGCTGCTTAAGAGAGCAAGTGACTCTGCTAACGTCTCTCTGACACAAGAAGATACTGAATAGGCAGTTGGAAAAGGTTCTCGAGTTCAAGTGAGAGGTCTGGTTTGGTTTAGAGGAAAATTTGGGAATCACCAACCTATAAATGGTGAGTCTGGATCAGATCAGTAAGAATTTAAACACCACTTATTGCAATTCATTGTAATAATAAATAGAAATGTAAATAATGTAGAATAATTATATACTATAATATATATTATACATAATATATAATATAGCATATATGTAATATATAATATAATATAAAAATAATAAGTAGAAATGTAAATCGTAGGAATGTAAATTGTCACTAGAAGGGAACTGGATATTATCCATATCCATGAAATCGTGTCTTACTTCAGGCTGCTATAATGAAAATGCCATAGACTGTGGCTTAAACAACAAACTGATTTCTCAGGGCTGGGAGTCCAAGATCAAGGTACTGGCAGATTCAGACAGGACAGTTTCAGACAGGATTTGGTGGCCGGTGAGACCCCAGTGTCTGGTTCATAGACTTGCCTTGCTGTGTCCTCACATGGCAGAGGGAAGGGCCGGAGAGCTTTCTGAAGTCTTTTATGTCTAAAGGGCATTAATTCCATTCATGAGTGCTCCATCATGCCCTAATCACTACCCAAGGGCCCAACCTCCTAATACCATCATATAGGGGATTAAAATTTCAATATATGAATTTGTGAGGGATACAAACAGTCCATAACAAATGGAATGCTGTACAGCCCTATTAAAGAATAGAGAAACTCTATTCCAGGATGTGCTCTAGAGTACCTATGGCTCACTTCTTGGGCCCCTTCTCTGTTCTTGGTCTCACTATTGATATGTTCTGTGTTCTGTGGAATGGTTTATGCTCAACAGGAAAATGCCATGGCCTAGCCCTAAGTGTCAGGTCAGGTTGTAGTGACAATGCCTACGACTGTGTCAACTTCTGTAGGTTTCTCAATCCCAATGGCTGTTTTTAGGAGGGAGTTTTTAATCACCTCTATACTTCCATCAGTTTCCTTCCACCCACCTCAAGCTTCATAATGAAGCTTGCCACATATCCAACTGCATTTTTGACATATCTACTCGAGTATCTAATGGACATCTCAAACTTGACTTGTCCAAATTAGATATCTTAACACATAAACACACCAAATCTGTTCTTCCTCCAGTATTCCCCACCTCAATAAATGGAGGCTTCCAGGGGCTCAGCTCAGAAACCTTGCAGTCCTGTTTGAGCTCTTTCTCTTACAACTTTCATCCAACCCAGTCAGCTCTATGTTACAAATCAATCAGAGCACCTTTCACTACATTCTGTGCTACTTACTCCTGGACAAGCCACAGTCACCTTTTGTCCAGATGATCATAATGGCTCCTAACTAGTCTTTGTTTTCGCTTTTGATAGCTTGTTTTTTTTCTCAACCCAGCAACAAGAGTGATTATTTCAAAAGATGTCATGTCCACCCTCAGAACATTCCAATGGTTTTCCACCTTCATAATAAAAGCCAGTGTCTTTATCCCAGCCTACAAGGAGCGTAGCCAAAAATTCCAGTTTGCCTGAGTTTGAGGGGTCTCTGGGGATGTGGGACTTTCAGTGCTAAAACTTGGAGAAAGTCTCAGGCAAACAGGATGAGTTTGTCACCCTACCTAGATGGCTTTACATGCTCTGGGCCCTGGCCACCCTCTGATCTCATTTGCTGTCACATTTCTTTGTCTTCACTGACCTTTTTTCTGTTTGTGGAACAGACCAAACATGTTCCACTCTCAGAGCCCTTGTGCTTATTTTTCTGTCTTCCTAGAAGTATCTTATCCTGGTATAGGGGAGGATTTTACTTCTGCCCTCTTAGGGTTTTTTGGCAGGCCTAAGAATTAAATTGACATAAAACAGGTTAACAGGAGAAAAGCATACAATTCGTTTTACATTTATGTAAATACATATATATTTATATAGAGAGACATTGGGGTACACCAATGTGTTTTCCAGGACAAAGTTACCCTCATAAGGAAATGAAGACCCAAAGAAGCAGTTAGAGTTGAACACTTATATACTGAGTTGGACAAAGAGTAGTAAGCTGAAAACACAAAAAGGCAAGGGCGCTGGGGCTTGGGTAGTGAATTGTGGAAGATAAGGGTTAGTGTACAAGGTTTGTTTGTACAGATTTCTCCTGGCCTCAACTCCTCACCCAAGGTGAGAAAAATGTTACTTTCCTTGTCATGTAAGGATGACATCTTCTATATGGGGAATTTCTCACCTGCTTTCAGGAATAAAAAGGAGAGGTCACTGTGCCTTCCAGCACCTGTTGTTTTTTCAAGGTGCCTTTAATCTTTATGTCAGAGGCGGTTTTTGTGTGGCATATTCTACTACCTGACCCTGGATGGCTGCAGGCTTCATTTCATTCAGGCCTTTGCCCAACACCTTCTTATGAAAGAGAACTTTCCTGACCACCCTATGTAAAATAATACCACTTTCTACTCATTCTTTAAAATAATATATGCATCCCCACTGTATCAATATATGTCTGATTGTTGTTCTGTCTCCCCCAACTACAGTACAATTCTTTGAGAGCAGGGACTTTATTTTGTCCCTGAAGTGTCCCTAGCACCTAGAACAGGGCTGACAGCTAATAGGTAGTCTATGAAGGTTTGTTGTGTGGGGAGAGGAAAAGTATTTGTCCTTCTACCTTTCTAAATTCTTGACTGAGACCTCCCTGTAATAAAAAGATTAACAGGAGAAAATCCAATTTAATTATATACATAAGTACAGGAGCCCCACAAAGATATAAGGTTCAAGGAAGTGAACAGAGCAGGAAGCTTTTATATCTGTTAGACAAAGAAAGGATACCTTTCTAAAGACGTGAAAAGACAAAGCGCTTTGGGCTAGAAGTAGTAAATGGTAAAGAAGTGACAAGGTTTATTCATAAGGCCTTCTCAGCCCTGAGTTTCTCATCTCTGGTGGTAAGGATGTCTTTCTTCCTCCTAGTATAGGAGGGTACATTTCACATAAAAGATTTATCTTCTGCTTTCAGGGAAAAAGAAAGAAGTGGGGGGTGACGTGGGGTGGAGGGGATGTCAGGGTGATTTTCCTGCTTCTGAAGCTTAAACTCCTTGAGTTTAACATATTTAATATACCAAGGTTGCACAGTAGGAGATAGCATGTCCCGAACCCCATCAGTTGAATGAATGCACACATGAATTTTCTACACGAGACCCTAGGCCCACCAGAGTGCTGCCACAGTAGAGTTGATTCTCTACTATTCCCTGACTTACCACTGCCTGAATCAATCAGTGTGGCAGTTTGTCCTCTAGATCTGAGGAATGATGCCGAATGGCAAATCAGGCAGCATGATCTTTGTTCTGAACAAGGCCTTCGTGAGTGTTAGGACTGAGGCAGGCTCAGAGGCTTTCCCCCAGGGCAGTGAGCACGACTAAAATGGGTATAGTACTATCTACAAGGCTATGAATAAAGAAGCCAGACCAACCGTCACAGAAGCTAGTCACGTCTACTGTTGTAGCAACTACCCCTCTCCTCCCATACAGAAAATCTGTATTCACACACCTCTCTACATATACTCTGCATCCAGGACAGGGAATTCTGTCTGATTTGCTCACAGATGTACCCTAATGCCTACAAGAGTATCTGGCACATTACCTGAGGTCAGTAAATATCTCTTGAAGGAACACCAGCTAAGGAGAACATAAAATGACCACTCTCCCAGCCAGGCCCATTTTGCTCCTCTGGCCGTCCAGGATGCAGCTCTGAATTCTCCCCAATGTTAATTTAAATTAAGCCATGCTAGGTACTTTTATCATTCCCCAGAAATCTTGGAGGACGGTTATCAGGTGGAAAAGCGGACCAAAAAAGCTAGGAGAGACACCGGCTGAAGCTGACATACTGAGCTTGCAACAGCGTGGGGGCTCTGTCGCACTCGCTCTATTTAATTGAGATAGAGTTTATACATCATAAAATTCACCCAAAATTAGCCGCCCTAATTTCCATTTCTCTGTGAAGGAAGGAAAACATGGCGAACTCGTACGGGCTCTGCTGACAATGAAAGAGGCACCTTCCCCCCATAAACCAGATGTTACTCTCCCCTGAATCCAGTGCCCTGGGTTTTCCGGCAGCCTGAATCTGGTTTCTCCCCTGCCCATTTCCAGAGACTATTTTTTGGAGACAAATCATTCTGTTAGTGGTGAAACCTCAGTACTGTTCTTGGGACCTGATTGAAGGACACTTGCAGGTCTGAGTCTATTTCAGAATCCGCAAAATGATAAATCTTAAAAATTCCTAAACCAGGGCTTTGGGGTTTCTGGCCAGCCTTCCCATCCCCCAGTCTGGCTCGCCTGGCGGCTTGGGGTGGGGGGGGAAGGCACATGAGATCATCAGTTCTGATTGGTTGACAACCACGGATGGGACTTTCTGATTGGACAATGTTCCTCTTTGTTCCTGGAAATCATTTCAAGTTCCCCACTCTATTTGGTCCTTCCCCACTTTTGGAGTATCATTCCTCCCTTACTCGTATGCAGCGAATGGGGACAGAGGAGCGGGCTAAATACTGTTCAGCTAAGGGAGTTCCTTTGGTGTATACGGATTTCGTACGGAGTTTTACTTCCAAAAATCCTGCAATCTTACGGGATTCAGCCATTAGATTTCTAGATTAGAAAGTTTAACTACAGCGGAGGGTCTATCAAGACAGCCCTTTTTTTGAACGGTTGGGTGGCCCTGAAAAGGGCCTTTGGTTATGAAATGCAATTTTCTGGTGACGAAATCAGAGCTTAGCCCCCGAAGCCGTAGAGGGTGCGGCCCTGGCGCTTGAGCGCGTAGACCACGTCCATGGCCGTGACCGTCTTGCGCTTGGCGTGCTCCGTGTAGGTGACGGCGTCCCGGATCACGTTCTCCAGGAACACCTTGAGCACCCCGCGGGTCTCCTCGTAGATGAGGCCGGAGATGCGCTTGACGCCGCCGCGCCGGGCCAGCCGCCGGATGGCGGGCTTGGTGATGCCCTGGATGTTGTCGCGCAGCACCTTGCGGTGGCGCTTGGCGCCGCCCTTGCCCAGGCCCTTCCCGCCCTTGCCGCGGCCAGACATGGTTTTCTAAAAAGCAAAACAACAGCCAGTGACAAAAGCAAGTGAGAGCTGGTCCTTATATAACGACGTCCCTTCCAACCCCACCCCCTGCAGATGTAGAGAATGGAAAGAGCGCAGGCGGGAGATGTGACGCCAGCAGTCCCCTCCCTTAATCCCGCCTCCAAGCCCCAGGAACTCAGGGCGGGCGTGGGTCAGAACCCAGCTTGACCATTGGTCTTTACTCCCTTAACTGGACTACGTTGTTCTAACGAACTGGGCTTATAGTAAGCTCATGTATGATTCCAAAAATATCCTAAATAGAATACTTAAGGCAAAAGGCTTGTTTCGCAATAATTTCAGTAATGACAAAAATATCAAGATCAAAGAAATGTAAGTTGAGCAGTTTATAGTTAATGATAAACCAGGTTTCTTTTAGATGTTTTACTTTTAATACATGTTTGATGAAACTATACTATTCCTGTTCGTTTTACAACTGATGCTCAAGAGGCCCTATTTAATGCCCTTCAAATGCCAACGGTTTCGTGCCCCTCTTGAAACCCTCACTGACTCTTCCTTAGGACCTAAGTTAACAGTACTTCCTAACTTTTCAAAGGACCAATTTTGTTCGCATGTACAGGGAACATTTAGACAAAAGGAAGCATCTGTAACCTGTGAAAGTGTTGCTAATCCACATCCTTTCATTCCTAAGTGCATAGCTAGTCATATTAAACTGTCGAGTTGATGGGTTTTTTACAGCCACTTTACTTGAAAACGTGGGTGGCTCTGAAAAGAGCCTTTGGTTGAAGTTTCAAAGAAAAAAAAACGGTAGTGTATTATGCCCTCTCCCCGCGGATGCGGCGCGCCAGCTGGATGTCCTTGGGCATGATGGTGACGCGCTTGGCGTGGATGGCGCACAGGTTGGTGTCCTCGAAGAGCCCCACCAGGTAGGCCTCGCACGCCTCCTGCAGGGCCATGACGGCCGAGCTCTGGAAGCGCAGGTCGGTCTTGAAGTCCTGCGCGATCTCGCGCACCAGCCGCTGGAACGGCAGCTTGCGGATCAGCAGCTCGGTGGACTTCTGGTAGCGCCGGATCTCGCGCAGGGCCACCGTGCCGGGCCGGTAGCGGTGCGGCTTCTTGACGCCGCCGGTGGCCGGCGCGCTCTTGCGGGCCGCCTTGGTGGCCAGCTGCTTGCGCGGGGCCTTGCCGCCGGTCGACTTGCGGGCCGTCTGCTTCGTGCGAGCCATAGCACCTACATAAACGTACCAAACACTAGCACAAGTACGTTATTCGGAAGACTGCCTAGTATTTATAGTACGTAAGGTGAAGTGATTGGATGAGAAAAATGCTGACAAATAAGGTTACAGGCTCTGATTGGTCCATCTTTTAGCTTTCCAACAACGGCGCAGTTTCATTGGCTACCACCTTATCCTCGTCTCTTCGGGTTTTTTTCTTCCACAACTAGCTCACTGTGACTTACACAATGATTTTCTTAGTGTGAATGCAGTGCTTTGACCGTTACCTTTTCAAAAAAAACTAAACATTGACTTCGTTGGTGTTGTAGTTCAAAACTATTATTTCTTTAGTTCTTGGGGAGAAACTTGAGAAATATTGCCCCCAATAATGTAGTCTTCATACTCCCTGCTCAATAACCCCAGTAACCCCATATCGTATTACAAGTTTCTAAAACCTTTTCAAAAATGAGATCCCTTTATAATGCTAAAATGAAGGAACTCCTTTGCATCCTACAAGACAATGTCAACCTTAGTAAAATTACACTGGCGCCTACAGAAGTATTTCCAGTGATCGGACACCTATTTGTTAAATGGTAATGCTGACTTCTAAAATCGGAGGTTTCTGGAACTTATTTTTTCTCATGCCTAGAGTATATTTTGCCAGGTGTAAAATATCAGTGACTAAATTCTCCAGCACCAACCTCTCTGAGCCTTGCGGAGCAGCCGTGTCCTGGGTCCAATCAACTGGATTCCGAGCCACGAGAAGGGCAAACTTCTCATTGCCAAGACCTAACCTTATAGTTCTTAAAATTCTTCAAGCTTAGAAACATCAAATGTGTCCGTTTTGTACTAAGAGTAGGTAGGCCAGATTCTACCTTTTCATTGGTTGAGTACTTTTGTACTGACCGGCCAGTAAGAAACCTAGCATCCTTCATTTGGGTAGAACGTTCCTATTGTATTTGAAGCCTATTTAATCCAATGGATACACAGGAGGCCGGAACCTTAAGAAATTCCGGACTCCAGTGTTCCCTTTTAAAAAGCTACGTTTAATTGGAGTCCTCGTTTATTACACTAGGAAAAGCTTGACTTTCAGAAGATGTTCACTTACAAAAGCTTCCAGATTTGCAGGAAGGTCGTATACCTATTATCATTGACTCTTACTTCAAACGCCCAGCTCCGATTATTCTCTTCCAAACTGGGAGAAACTACGGGCTGCGTCTGAAAACGCAGACTCTCGGGAGAGCGGGAGGTCGTTGGGGGTGGCGGAGCTGTTGGCGGGAACATCCCATTACCGGCCGCCGGCCTACCGGTAACAAGCCCCTCGGATGTTTGAGGGAAAGCGGGAAGCTCGGGTTACTTAGGCCGCGCGGACTTGTTTGAGAACTTGAGGAGCGCAGGGCGGGAAGGGGACGTCTCTGCCTCCTTCCGGCCGCCGGGCGACTGCCCGAGCCTGTGACAGGGCGTGCTGGTTACCGGGCGCAGACCTGGGAGAGGCATTTTGTTCTCTCGTCGTCTGATTCGCGCTGTGAAATCACTTGAGCCTTGTCCCTGCCTTTACATGCGCCTCACAGCCACAAAGAGGTCCGAGGAGGCTCGCCCCGAGCGCTTATCCCGAGCCGCGCCCCCTCGCTCTCACCCCGAGGCGCTCTCGCCCCCTCACGGCGCCGGCGAGCGGAGCGGTCCGTCCGGCCAGCGCCTCTTCAACGCCCCTGGTGCGCGGGGCTGGGAGCTGTTGCGGAGCGAGGGCGCGCTGCCGGGGAACAGCAGCCCCTGTCCGTCGGCCCCGGCCCGCGGCGTGTGGGGAGGCCGAAGAGGCACCGGGGGCGCGTCAAGGGCACCGGACTGCAGGCGCAACTTGGCGTTCACTCACGGGAAGGTTGTGTATCGTTTCCCACACGTGCCGCTGGCGTGTTAGCCGCGGTGGCAGCGAGTTGGGGTGTTTGCCACGCTACTCCTTTGACCAAAATTCATGAGAGGTCTTGACCAGGCGTGTCCCGCTTCGGCGTCGCCGGGGCAATGGCGTTGAGGACTGGTCCCAGACTCCTGCACACCGCCCTCCCCCCCACACCCCGCTTTCCTCTCTCCCTCCCGGGCCATTCAGGACGCGCGACCTTTTACACTCAGTGCGGATTAGGAACGGGCGCCCCTGACGACGCCTCCCTGGATTCTTATTTGGCTGCCTCGTTTACAAACTGCTCTTCCTCCGCCCCCCGGAATCAAAAGGCTTGTTCCATAAGGGGAAGCGGCACCGTCTGGCGTTAATGGGCTGCGGAGCCCGACCCCTCCCCGCGCAGAAGTGCGGGCTGCGCGAGGCGACAGGGCTGCCGCCGCACAGTCGCCTCGGGGACGCGCTGAGGGCCGCGGCGCAGGGGGCGCTAGGGGGCGAGAGGCGGGCGCCGGCGAGCACCAATCACAGCGCGGCCCCGCCCTATAAATAGGCCGCGCCCGGAGCGCCGGCGTCTTCCTGCTCAGTCAGGTCCTCGCAGCTCGCTCGGTCCGCTCCGCTCTCACCATGTCTGAGACCGCGCCGCCCGCGCCGGCCACCTCCACTCCCCCCGAGAAGCCCGCGGCCGGCAAGAAAGCCAAGAGGCCGGCCAAGGCTGCGGCTGCCGCCAAAAAGAAGCCCACGGGCCCCTCCGTGTCGGAGCTGATCGTGCAGGCGGTGTCCTCCTCCAAGGAGCGCAGCGGCGTGTCCCTGGCCGCGCTCAAGAAGGCGCTCGCGGCCGCCGGCTACGACGTGGAGAAGAACAACAGCCGCATCAAGCTGGGCCTCAAGAGCCTGGTGAGCAAGGGCACCCTGGTGCAGACCAAGGGCACCGGCGCCTCGGGCTCCTTCAAGCTCAACAAGAAGGCGGCCTCCGGGGAAGCCAAGGCCAACCCCACGAAGGTGGCGAAGGCCAAGGTGACGGGCGCTTCCAAGAAACCTAAAAAGGTCACGGTAGCTGTTAAAAAAGCTGTTAAGACTCCGAAAAAGGCCAAAAAGCCGGCTGTGGCCAAGAAGTCGTCCAAGAGCCCCAAGAAGCCCAAGGTTGTGAAGCCTAAGAAAGTAGCTAAGAGCCCTGCCAAAGCCAAGGCTGTGAAGCCCAAGGCGGCCAAGGCGAAGGTGACCAAGCCAAAGACGGCCGCCAAGCCCAAAAAGGCCGCACCCAAGAAGAAGTAAGCGTTGCAGTTGGAACTTACTCCAATAACCCAACGGCTCTTTTAAGAGCCACCAACATACTTCGGAGGAAAGAGCTTTAGTACGTGTCTCCTGGCTCCTACGCGGAGTTTGCCACTGTCTTGCCGGGCTCCCTTGCCGGGGCGGTGCTGAGCCAGTCCTTACCCCACCCCGCAGTTCCTTAGAGGCTCCAGTTCCCACCGGCGGACCTGACCTTTCTAGGTGCCGTTTAGCGGCTCGGGAACCACTGGCCTAGCGAGCTTCGTCTTGCCTAGAGTTAACTGTATTGGCAAGACCTGGGGGACTTTGTCCCAAACTGGAAGTCCGCGCCCCGGGCTAATGAGTCATCCCCGGTAACCAGGAGGGATGGGAGCCCCGCTCTGGCCCCAGCTGGGAGCGTGCGCCGGGCGCACACCTGGCTGTTCCATCTCCCCGTCGAGTTCAAAGCCGGGCCCTGCTCTTTTCGGGACAGTAGTGCTTAAAGCGGCCCTTTCCGGATGTGGGTTCCCCTGACAAGTGCTTGGGGGGTAACCCGTGAAACCGAAAGCTTGGCCACACCCTCCGCGGATGCGGCGCGCCAGCTGGATGTCCTTGGGCATGATGGTGACGCGCTTGGCGTGGATGGCGCACAGGTTGGTGTCCTCGAAGAGCCCCACCAGGTAGGCCTCGCAGGCTGAGCTCTGGAAGCGCAGGTCGGGTTTGTTGGCGCGGCGCCTCCGCGTGGGTCGGCTTGGGGGCTGCGCGCAAGTTTCTGGCGGTGGTCCCGACAAGGAAGCTTGGCTGCATCGGAGTTTTGGAGCCGAAGCTCACAAGCCCTTACCGGGCTCCTGTGTTTATAGGAAACAAAGCTGCCCTGATTGGCTAATATTTGAAAACCCACTCTGCCCCTAACTAGAGCGTATTTCTTTGCGTACAGGGTTTTCAATTCTGGTGGCGCTATACCATATTAAGTAGGGAAGGACACTTTCCGCAGAATAGTCCCTTTAGGCTTTTGAAATTTAATTCTAGGATACAGATTTTAATAACCTCTTTCACCTCCGAGGAGAAAACACCATATGGTGAGCCAGGGTTACTAAACACAGCTCAGTTGGTTGTAAAGCCTCATTTTTACACGTGCCCCTACATACTCTTTTTTTCCCCCCATTTTTCAGGTGATCTTTTTTTCCCACTGTCTTGCTGGGCTCCCGCTTTCCGGTAACAACTGCCATACAGGCACTTCACATCTCTGTTCCCCGGCCCTTAAGCCGGCGTGTAGCTAGCTATTCATGATTGCTTTGAACTCGGTCTCTTAGGAGCACCTATCCTACACACGCATGATTGCTCCTTCTGGTTTTCGGTTAGGGCTATTTACAAAACGGTGACTTTACACAAACTGCTTCTTAAAACCTTTCCGAAATCCTTTCAAGTCAAAACCTCTTTTTAATGTCCACGTGGAGTAACATAAGCTGTTCATCCATTTCCTAGCGATAAGCATTGACGTTGTTTCCATTGACCACTGCCCACTGTGGCGCAACAGAGTTCCGGCACCGAACTTGCTAGATTAGAGTGAATTTTATATTTCAGCTGGTGCTGACGTATCCTGAAAATAACTCCCCCTCAAGGTGTGGGCTCAATTTTTGCCCGTCTACAGGGTGTAAAATTACTTCTCATTGTCACTTTGATGTGCATTATCATGGTCACTAGTATATCCTTTCTTTAGGTTTATTGGTCATTTGAATACACTCTTCAGAGAATGCAGGCTTATCCCTTTGCTTCCTTTTCCACTGGGCAGTTTTTCTTGTCCCACTGTTTTTTTTATATAGTAATGAACTACTTATCACCTCTGTTGCAGATAGTTTTCTAATTTTGGCATTTTTTACTAATTTTATTTATGGTGGATTTTCCATTTGAATGTTATAAAGATCTATATAAAATCCCAAATATTAAATGTTAGAAACATATCTTTTAAAGCTTCTAGATTTCTTGGTTAAGAAACTGAACCCCACCCCTCCATTATTCATTCAATAGCCTAGGTTTTCTTCTAAAAACTGCTTCCTAAAAATTTTTTGGTCTCTAATCCATCTAAAATTTTATGCACTTTTAGAATCCGAGTTTACATTCTCCCAGATGGCCAGTTGTCCTAACGCAATTTATAATCCATCCATTTCTCCCACTGTATGTCCTGTTATTAAAGTCTTAATAAGATTTCTGTGTTCTTTTCTATTGATCTCTCCATATAAGTCATGTTTGTTAATTTGTATGCTTGTGTCTACTGTGAATGGAGGACTCATTTCCTTTTTTAGGTCTTACTGCTAGGAAGGAGGAAATGTATTGATATGTTGTATCCAGTGACCTTACCAATTTCTGTAATTCCACTTCTTGGTACTTTTTAAAATAGAGCCCCTTGAGTCTTTCCTAGTCATCAGCAAAATAACATGTTGTTGTTGTTGTTGTTTTGGTCTTCCTCAGTGTGAATACCAAGCATTTTATTTCTTTTGTACTGCATTTGCTGAGACTTTCCAAAGTAAAGTTAAATAATTTAGCAGGAATCCCTTTTTAGTTCTTGGTTTTAATTAGGCTATTGTTTGTCCTTTAGGACATTTGTTAATTTTTGGCATCTCCATTATTTTAAATGATACCTTCAAATTTTATTTTACTTTTAGAAAATTTTTCAGTAGCTTTTAGGCTTTAATATAGTGATATATGATTTTCTTTAAACGCAGTGTGGCTGAAAGAGCGAACTAGAAAAAGATGTGTTTTTATAAGGCGGTCATCTAAGAGAGAAGCAGGTGTGCTGTGGTAGAGCTGGAGGAGGGGGGAGTCAGAAATTCTGAGTCCATGAGATCACCAACTGGATGAGGGGTATGAGCAACTGGGTTCAAATGCTGCTGATTGAGTGACTGAATTGAGTACAGGCCTGAGAATAGTCTCTTGGTTAAGTAGTATGGAGGTGACTGACAGCTTTGAGAATAGTTTGGGGAGGACGGAGTTGAATTAAGGTGGAACTATAAATTTGAGAATCATTGGTATATGGATGGCATGTAAAGCCATGAACCTGGGTGAGGTCGCCAAGGGGATGACTGAAGTAGAGAAGAGTATAAAGGGGAAAGTACTGAGTCCTGAGGCATCGAACATCGAGGGCGGAGGAGACCTAGTCCTGACCATTCATCATCGATAAAGCTGAGTATTCTACTTCTTTGTGCTTCCGTTTGCTAATTTAAAAGTTGCATTAGAGGGGCGCCTGGGTGGCTCAGATGGTTAAGCGTCTGCCTTCGGCTCAGGTCATGATCCCGGGGTCCTGGGATCGAGTCCCGCATCGGGCTCCCTGCTTGGGGGGGAGTCTGCTTCTCCCTCTGCCTCTGCTGCTTCCCCTGCTTGTGCTCTTTCTCTGTCAAATAAATCTTAAAAAAAAAAAAAGTTGCTTTAGAGCAGTGTTTTTCACGGCTTGTCGGTAATCGAAGAGATTCGAACATATTAGAGCGTGCCACACTGAGGTATCTATGGCTTCCTGGGACTTAGGTTGGGGGCACTTCCGTTGTTAGGCATATGTATGCATGTGCTGGGTCACGAAGAAGAATGCGTGTCTTAGCGGGGTCACCATCAAGTCTGAAAACCAGTGGTTAAGGTGCTCCCTTCTGGTCTTTCACAATCCCGAGTCTGCTGTTTTGATGTTCTGACCACAGAATCAGATCTAACATCCATATAAGACAGTAGAGAGACTTGAAATCCATCTCATTGTCCCAGAGATCTTCCAGAGACAAGTGGGTAACAGGTGACATACAAATTCTATTATTTACTAATTGATTTGATTGTCCTTGCCTGTGGGGATTTTTGAAAGGAAAGAAAAGAGAGGCGCAAAGCACAGGAGTTAAAGGATTTCCAGGACTGATGGAAGATCAGTGTGGGCCCTTTAAAGTACTGACGACAGATAATGAGCTTGGCTCTGTAAGTCCTACAACTGCACATATATGGGAAAAAGAGAGGAGGGGAAGTCTCACATCTTGATGCTGCAGGTTTTATTGTGTCCTATGTGCCCAGAGGAAAAGGGGGAACATTGGGGAGGAAAAGAACATTGTTCTTTTCTTTACACCATAACCTATTTTTCAGATCTTTGACAATGTGTACATGCAAATCTAAAGGGAAAAATTATTCTGCGTACAAAAATAGAACTGGGTTAAACTCGAAGTATTAACTACTAAATGGCTGATCAGTAAAACGGTGGCCTAGAAACTACCCACAGGATTCGAGAGTGGGTGTGCGCCATTGTTTAGTTCACCAGTCACCTGCTGGATCTTAAAAATTTATTTAACAGAAACTACAGTCATTTTCAAGTGTGTCTCAGAATGGGTTTCCAGGAGTGGGATTTCTCTATCAAAGGGTAAAAAGCAACCTTGCGAGCTGCAGTTTACAGTAAAATAATCATCATGGAATCTTAAAAACAAATAAATACAAATGCCTAAAGACCGAAATGTGATTGGACCTAGACTATCACGGGTCACCATCTATTTTATTTCATTTTATTTTATAATACATAGTTTGATACAAAAATCCAAATTACATGAAAAGATACACACTGAGAAGTCAAGTTCCACATCACTGACCTTGACCACTCAGGTCCCCTTCCGGTGTTTTCCTTATGCAAATAGAAACAAAACATATATATACTTTTCTTTCTTGCCCTGTCACAGGATAATGCGAACAAGTTCTCTACCGCTGTTCACTTAGCAGTCTGTCCTGGACCTTTGGCTGTAATGGGACCCAGAGCTCTCCATCTCTTTCCACAGGTACGTGATATACCATGTGTAAAGGAACAATGGTTTATTTTGGTTCCAGAAGCTCTGGGTCTGTATCGGAGAGCTGAGCCCTTTGTACCAGGTGTTGTAAAATGTTTTTTCAGATAGTCATTTGTCTCTTAACTTTGATAAGTTAAAAAGGGTCTTTCCCACTTCAAGAATCAAAGGAATTCACCTGTATTTTTGTCTGGGTTTTTTTTTTTTTTTTTTTCCTAACATGTCAGTCTTTGATCTATTTGGAGTTTATCCTAGTATATGGTGTTTTAAAAATGACTATCCCATTGTCTCAACACTTTACTCCCAATGATGAGAAGGGCTGTCTATGGGGCGCCTGTGGGGCTCAGTCGGTGGGGTGTCCAACTCTGGATTTCAGATCAGGTCTTCATCTCAGGGTCATGGGTTCGGGCCCCACCCTTGGGCTCTGCACTGGGCATGAAACCTATTTAAAAAAAAAAAATGCTGTCTTTATGGCATACAAAATTCCTATGCTGTCGATTTCTGGACTTTCTATTGTGTATCAGTCCATCTAGCCAAGCACTAGCACCACGCTGTTTTAATTGAGGATTGATGATCCTTTCCAAAATATGGTAAAGATCACCCACCCTTCCTGTTCATATTTTCCAATTTTAGGGCAATCATAAGACAATTCTAGCTTTTCAAAGAACTGTGCAATGCTTAGAGCTAGACAAGCTTTGGAAGTCAGTCAGTGTTTGTTCCTGTCTGGCAAAGTTCTGCAGGGAGTGTTGTGCTCTCTGAATTCATGTCACAGCACCCCCATCAACTACGAAGGGCCCATCATATCTTCAGGGCATTTGTATCGAGCCACGTTCAAGGCGAATGAGTGAGAAGAAACTGGAATAAGTTTTATGATCTTAGAATCAGTGGGTGTTCTCTTTGAACTAATTAATCATTCTTTCCTCCAAACTCTTTAGATGGCCACCATGCTTCCCTTTCCACATGGGGAATCCTAACTACAAAGGAAACAGATAAGGAAGCAGGTAAAGTATTCTCATTCCCGTGCCTCGGAGGAAGACGAAGTAGGTTTTGTAAGCAGCCACCCTCTTCCACACTTACACAGGTTTCTTTGTTTTTTAAAGGATCACTCACATATTTGCTAACTCTTCAGAGGGAGCACAAGGTCCAAGTGTGCAAGCCTAGACCCTGCCCCTAGAAGACCTAGCGATGCTTGGCTGCTCTAAAGTGGACACGTGGGAAGCGACCCATAGATCTGCACTCTCCCATGTCCTGCAGAGAAAGGGGCCACTGGAAACAGGATTCAGTCAATGGCAGGAGCAAGTGCCCCCAAAATCTTGTGGGTTGATTTTATCCTTTTATTTATAACGCTGCTAATATGCTACATGCGCCTTGACTGTGCATCAAATACTCAGTATTTTGATTCTGACAGATGAAAAGAGTAAGTAGCAGGTAAGCCACTCCCACACCTACCCGGAAAGCAAACCGGAGATTTTAAAGTTTATTCTGGATGCTGAAAACTCTTCTCATGGAAGACATATTCTTTAGATGAGCCCCAACCTTCTTTAAACTTTTTATATCTGGAAACATAACCTCTAAAGAGAAAATCATAACAAAACGTGACAAAAGAGCAATGTAAAGCTCCCTGGATGATCACAGAGTGAAGAGTCCTGAACCACCACACAAGTCCAAAAAACAGAACGTCCACCAACTCTCCCCGTCCGCTCACACCTGCTCCCAGTCACTAACCCTCCGTCTTCCCTAAATGTACCCACTATCCTGATTTCTGACACAGTCATCCAGTCTGGCTGTTTTTGAATCTCATATAAAATGGAAATCAAAAAAACGGTAGTCTTTTGTGCCTGGTATCTTTTACTCAGAAAATTAGGTTTGACAGATTCATCTGTGTCACTATATAGAACTGTGACTCATTTTTATTGTATAATCTTCCATTTTATGAATATACCACAATTTAGGGATCTATTCCACTGCGGACAGACATTTGTTTCTCTTCTTCAGGGATTACAAACAACGCCAGGAACATTCCCGCACGTGTGTTTCGGCACCTACGTGGACACACGTGTGTTGTTTGTAACCCAGAACCAGAAATCACTGGGTCAAACCCTAAACTTTTTCAGAGTTCTTGTACCAGTCTACCTGCTCTGGAATCAAAAAATGAAAATTAAAGCCACAGTTATAAACATCTGGATGAACCTCACAAACCTAGTATCGAGTAAAATTTAGATGAAAATCCCTGTTTCACACCCTTCTAGTTTTGTTTATTTTTTTCATTAAAAATGTTAGTCTTCTTAAATGTTATCCATCGTGGCAGATGTGTGGTACCTCCCTGTGGTTTTCTTTTGCATCTCTTGCCCATTTTTCTACTGCACCGTGTGCTCCTCTGCTTGGTCTGCCCCCCAACAAAACACCACGGCCTGGGTGCCTTACACAGACACGTATTTTCCCATAGTTCTGGAGCTCCACGACTGATGTTCACAGGGCTGACCTGCCGTCCTCAGCCCCCCTGGAGGAAAAGCAGATCCTATGTGGCCCAAAGCTCCCGTTAGGAGTTATACTGTTGACTGTCCAGTGGCCAAGGCCACCAGGTAAACAAAGACACTCTTATTGGGCAGGACACTCCAAGGGCCTAGAGACCACCTCCTAGCAGCCACGGGCAAAGGCCAGACCTCTCTTTGGGTAAGGTTAATTTAATACTACATACACGCTTCTAGAATCTGCCAACTTACACTGCCCCTCGGACGTCCAGGAGGCAACCCAACCCTGGCATGTCCAACACCAATGGTTCAGTCTCTCTCCAGACTGCACCCACAGGCTCTCCCCTGTCCTCAGATGGTCACTGCACCTCCTTATTTCTCCCCTGGACCCATGGCAACAGCCTCCCAACTGGTCTTCCTATTTCCAGCATCGTCCTCTTCAGTCCGCTCCCAACACAGCGGGCAGGGTGTCCTTTCGTGTCCCCCGACTCACATCCTGCCAATGGTTTCCCTTCCCACTCAGTGTAAAACCCTGTGTTCCTACAAGGTCTGACGGCCGGGGCTTTAAGCATTTATTTTTAAAATTCCACTTGGTAAGAACTATTTGTCACAGCAAAGACACACCAAAGCAAAACAAGTATTTCATTAAACAATACTTACCCTGACTTGACTTTTTATGCGCTGTTTTCTCTGTGTTCTGCTCTTTCATCCAGAAACACTTGGCAGCAGCCCAGTAAATTGATTTCATGAATACTTATCGGGTCATGCCCAGCACTGCAAAATACACTGCTCCGTATATACAAGCTTTGCCCCCTCCCCCCAGCACCTCACACTGGCACCCTGACCGCGCCCCCGGGGGCGCCCCCTTGCTTACTCCACCCAGGAATAGCGGGCCTTGCAGTCCCCGGGGGCCTTGGGGGCCTTTGCAGCGATCACTGTGTCTACCTGGAATGTTTGCCCCCAGATATCACAAGGGCTCGTTCCCTCACCCTCTTTCAGATTTAACTCCAATGTCCTCAGTGAGGCAGCCCCCTTTACCTCCTACATCACTGACCAGCCTCTAGGATCCCCCAGGGCTGAAACAGATCCATCTTCCCCAGAACTCATCGGACCTAAAAAGAGCCTTCACTATCAGGCCCTGGAAAGATACCTGGCTTCCCACGGCTCGTCACCCTGGCTGGTCTGGCCATCCTCCTCCAGGACAGAGCTGGGGTTGGAAGACCACCAGAGGACAGCTACTTACAGAATCCGATGTCCTGAGGGAGAACCTGCGGACCAGCTAACAGGATGCAGGGGACAGAAACTGCCCAGGACTCAAGGAGGGGGGGTGGGGCGGAGAATAAAGCTCAGACACCTGCTCTAGCACTTCCTGGCCACTGATCTTTGACAGTCGGCTTCATGTCTCACGGGTCTGGAATTCTTGGCTACAAACTGGAGTTTCATAGCATCCCCTACCTCACAGGAGTTTACACGGAACACGAAAGACAAAGAGGGCCGCCAGCCGAGTGGGGGTTACACACAGCGGTGCGCCGGGGTGGCTGACGCCGCTCGCCAGGGCCACCTGCTAAGCCTTCAGGCATTTTGTGAGCTGCCTGTTTAGACTCAACGATTATTAAAAATTAAATTACATAAATTTACAATTAAATAGCTTATATAAAAAGCAAAGTTAAGGGCACCTGGGTGGCTCAGTTAAGCGACTGCCTTCGACTCAGGTCATGATCCCAGGGTCCCGGGATCAAGCCCTGCATCAGGCTCCCTGCTCAGCGGGGAGTCTGCCTCTCCCCCTCCCTCTGCCCCTCCTTCCCACTTGTGCTCACTTGCGCTCTAATAAAATCTTAAAAAAAAAAAAAAAGCTAGCTGATACCCCACATCTCCTCACCACTTCACCATTATCCTCACTCATGGGGTTGTTCACTCCTCTTGTGTGGTGGCAATACTAGGTCGTGGGCTACTGTGCGTTGCTTTGTAACTAACTCCACATTCAGTCACTGCTAGTTTGAGATCCACTGTGGTGGAAATAGTTTCACCACAGAAATGGGCACGCATTACAAATTAAAGGGGTTTTGTGTGTGTGTGTGTGTGTGTGTGTGTGTGTGTGTGTGGTTCTTGTTTGTTTTCCTGAGAGCTATCAAACATTTATTGACACACCATTATTTTCAGAGAATGTTCTCAATAAATGCCTTCCTCTGGGCTTCCTCTCACCCAAGTGGGGGCAAGAACTATCAGGCAGGCTTGCTTGTTTGCTCATTCCCTTCATGTTCAGAGCTCTACACTGAACTTTACTGGGTAAAAACAGTCTGGGATCAGACTCCCAAAGTGGGAGTCTCTACCGAGTACTAATGTCACTGAAACATCATGTGGCTTCTGTTTGGTTCATAAGAAAACTTCCTTGCCGCTTACCGTGATTGGCAGTTCTGTAAGGTTTGTCACTTGGTTAGTCTAACTTCAAATCCACACTGGCTTTGATGTTGTCATTTACCAGCTTCTATGAAGCCCACGGGCTGGGCTTTCTCTACACATGTTGATTTTAACTCCGTTCAAAAATATGAACAAAGGTTCAAAAAAACAGTTTGGCAGGGGCATGGGGGAAGGGGACGATGTAGAAATATCTTCCCCACAGGCCTGGAAATTTCACTACAAGTTGCAACTTTGGAAGATAATAGGGGATATTTACACGTGAGCATCAGGGAGCCCCAAAGCTCCCTGGGAAAAGGAAATACCCCACCATCTAGAGAATTAAGAGCTCAAGACAAAAGAGAACACGGGAAGCAGTTAGTCCAAATCACAACTAACTCACTTTTCAACCATCAGTAAAATTTTGTTCCTCGTTTTATGGCCATTTTTTCCATACTTACACTGAACTTTTACTACTTCTTATAAGTGATTATGCAAGGAACCAAGAATGAAGACTCCACGACCACCACCTTGAACTGCCAGCATCCTTGAGTAGGATTCCAATCTGTGCCTTGACAACATCATAAAATATAACGGTCTTGAATTTTTCAACTGAAGGAAGAAACTGAGGGGTCAAGAGTCCTGCAGCTGGAAACCCCACTGCCTCATTAGAGAGAATGCTCCTTGCTTTGGAACAGGGGAGGAGCGTTGGTCTCACTGGGATCTCAGGGCTCGCTCCTCCCCTCCTGACAGTCTAAGAACCAGGCCACTGGCCAATATATGCCTCAAAAAGGAGCCACCCGTGTTCCTCCTGAAATTTCACGATGTTTTCATATTCCTGCTTACCAGTAATCTTCATGGCCTTGCCTTGGGGGCCACACCACAGAGCACAGAGCCTGCCTGCAGCTGCAAGGGCAGATCACTCCTCCAGGCTGTGGAGTCTAGTATTTCCTGCAGAATTGCTGCTAAACCCATAATGTAAGAAGAGGGAACCTCTCCTAGGGAAAGAGACTGTCACTAACTGCAGGAGCTCATCGTTACGCGGTAGGGATCGATTAAAACCTGTTTGTGCATTTTCCGTACACGCTGCTCCATCTCCATCCTCTGAGCTTCCAGCAGTTTCTCCCGACATCGTCACTCCCCTTCCTCCAGCCCACTTCGCCTCTCATCCAACACCTCCACTGATATTCCAGAGGCCTCCCCAACAGCCCCCACAACACCTACAACCCACGCTAGGATGCACACCAGGCATGTTTTCAAAAGTAAGACTTTCTGCAGCTTCAGGGACCCTTCTTAGGGACAGTAGGCTGATTCTTCTAGACTGAAGGTGAAACAGGGGTGATACGAAAACGTTAAGGTGCTGGGCTTCAAGAGGGCAAAGCACAGAAACCCAAAGGGAAGTACTCACCTGGAACAAGGAGGGAAGAAAACACGGGATGATGAATTTTCAGTGCGTTCCCAAACTTGCCCACCAGAGGGAAGCCTCGAGCTGCCGGCAGGCTGGCCAGAAACCAGAGCACGCTGAGTGGGCGGCTTCTGACCATCCTCATGTTCCCTGTTCCTAAGTGTTTAGAAAAAAAGGATATCCACTTAAAAAAAAAACGAAAACAAAAACAACAAATTCAGGACAAAATGAAGAACTATTTACTTTTCTACATTACATTCTAATTTTTATAAATTTTTTGTCAATCTATTTTCCATCATTTGCCCTAGTACGTCTTCACTTTTGTTTCACTTAACCAAACATTTCTGTTAGATTACTGTGTGTTCATAATAATCACTGATTCTGTTGCACAATTTCTCAAACTTGTTGGTCTGATTAAACTTAGAGTCACTCATCTGCTTTGTCAGGAGGAAATACAGAATATTTTGGGTGCCCTAGTTATTTTACAATATTCCTGATCCTAGCTCCTTTAGAATTGGTTCCTTAAAATATGTATGGTTATGGACATTCATGAAGTTTTCATCATATTACTGTATTGATTGTATCAGAATTTCCTAATTTATGAAGGCATTAGCTACATATGACTTAGACTACCATATAATTTTAAAGTGGTTATTAGAAATAAAATGCTCTCCTCAAACTTAAGTTTTATTATATATAAGTATTATTTTATACAAGTATAAAAAAACAAAAGAGCAAAGCAAACCCCCTCTTTTTTTCCAAACTGCCTCTTCTTACTTTAATAGAACTAACATTTAATCAGATTTCTCTGCTGGCTAGATGTACTAGGCTAAATATTAAAAATTCCCAAGCAAATGCATTTTTCCCTTTTACTTTACTGTTATCCAAAGAAAATATAAGGTCCTCCTATGTCATAATTGTAATTTTTGCTCTTTATCAAATATGACACATTTAGGTTTCAACGGAGTTGAAGGTTTGTGAGATACTGTTTGGATTACACAACTCACAAAGGCAATAGCTAGGCTGACAGCTCACATTTCAGCGGAACTCAGAAAGCTTAGTAAGCTGGTGATTCTGTCTTCCAGCTTCTAAAACAAACAAAACACTCCCAGGGGTTCAGACACAAGTCTCACCACCCTGTCTCCCATATTCCAGCAGGACAGAAGGGTAAATATATCGGATTCCACGTTGGTGGAGTTCCTACCACTGGTTTTGGTTTTCTCCATAAGTAGGGCAAAGGTCCTGTGGTCAAAGTAACATCTGATCCAGCGGCCAAACAGAAACAGGAGCGGGGGGAGTCCGCCACAGCCAATGTGAGCAACAGGGGGAGGACTGACCGCAGACCCCGCCACAGTGCCAGGAGCCACCTCCTCAAGAAGCAAGACTCTGGCAGAGTTCCAAATGCGTGGAGGCTGGGGCACAG